TGTGTAACTCTGCCTGCTCCCTGAGTCACAGTCACTTGCTTCAAGAAGTCTCCAATTCTGGGATCTCCTGTGTCCCCTGGGATGCTGAGGAAGTGTAAGGAAGATGGAGTGAGACTACGAGATGCAATTTGCTTGTGAAGTGATGGGACAGGGATTGTAGTTTTAGTGTTGAGAAGGTGCACTTGTAAGACAGGGAAGAAGTGGACAATGGACTGGCTTTCTTGCTCACTGGAGACCCAGAATGCATTCAGAGTTGCTGTGAATTGTCCTGGTAGCACTCACCAAGCAAAGTTACAAAATCCTAAACTAGTTACACGTGAGCTTTTGTCCACTTTGCCAGCAAGATCAGCAAATTGTCATGTCCACCTGGCAAAGTAAGTTCCATTTGCATGATAAACACCAGCCACAGATAATGTCATACCTGGCCTCTTAACAAATTCTTGAACTTGTGCTCCCCAGCAGTGTGTATTTTAAAAAGCTGTTTTGGCCACGTGTCAGCATAACACTGCTGTTACTTAATTTAACAAGAGTTAATTGAGCTGATGCCATATTGATGAGTGTATTAGAAATACATACATGTTGGGCAAAGTGTATGGTGGCATTGCACATCAGCTCTGTCGTTCTGTTCTTTCCTGTTTAAAGCAAGCATTTGACTTTTGGTAACCTTCTTTCTAGGGTTTTTTTGGTGGTTTTCTTCTTCAATATCTCCCTTTTCCTGTGCCTAAAATAGTTCCATGTATGGTTTGGATTCTTGGTTGAAAGCCTTTGATATCAATACTGTATTCTTGCTGTCTTCACTGAGTAATAAGAGCCAAAATAAGAGTGTGATTTACCATAGACATTGGTGTTCATGTGTTCTGCATGTTTTGAATCTATGTTTTATAAAATATCTAGTTCTACTTGAAGATTTCTTATTATTTCTATAACTCTTGCTCTACAGCATGCTAAAATTATGGATGTCTTTTAATTGTATCTCAAGGTCTTTAACTCTTGTTTTTGGAGAATTTTCCACTTTGTGTTGGTTCAATCATATTGTAGGTAGGTGTTACTGTAATTTATAGAAGAAGGTAGCAGATTTGGTGAGGGAACTTACTGTGACCGGAAGACGTGCACTCTGTTTATTATTTGTATTGATTGGTGGTTTGAGACCAGGATGCCAAAGCATTTGAGGGGAAGATAAAAGTCATCTCCTGTAGTTCTGGCTGCCCTCTCCCAGTATAACCATAGCTGAGAACCAGGTGCTGCAGCACTGCATGATGCCAGCTGCCTCCCTCAGTGGTGTGCCTGTCTCATGGCCAGCTAAAAGGAGATCGGAAGTCAGGAGCTGTGTCCTTATGTGACACTGGAAGTCAAACAGGGAATGGGAACAAAATCAGGTTGCTGACAACACATTTAGTGATTTAGGCATCTTTTTTTTCTATCATGGGTTTCAACAGCATAGTTGTAGGAGCTTTTAAAATGCCTAAAATATAGAGGTTGGTATTTGTCCTTCCCTAGTAAACTAGATTAGTGCCTTTGCCTTCTCAGAATGATGAATATAACTCAAACCTCAAAGTCCAGGAAATGATAAGGTAAGGGCCAGCACAGGTCTTAATATAATCTTAATTCTGCCCAAGGAACTGATTATACCCATTTGAATAGCTCACTAACATGAGTGTTTATAAAAGGCAAAGGAAGGCATAGCTGTTAGCTCACAGCAAGCACTGCCTTTGGAGAAGCAAGTGTACCTTTATAAGGATGGGATTTCTTAGGTTGCCTTGTTAATGGCAAGGTTTTCTTCTCATGTGCATTGCCAGTGATGTGATGAGATGTGGCATGACAGTTGGTAGTTTGTGGGTACAATGAGATGTCACAGAATGAAGGAATCTCAGATCAAAGGGGGAGGATTTGTAACATTTAGTGCAGCTGAGAACATTTTAAAATGTACAGGAGGAACATTTGCTGTAGCTCATTTGCTTTAGATGACTAACACAAAATTGGATGTGGCCCATGGTGGCTGTGCTTTCTTCCTAGGGGGGTTGTAGTGCTTGTAACATGGAATAAAATGTTCTTAAAGAAGGTTTCAGCTGCACTTTGGTGCTTATGTTACCTTAAACTCTTATTTCCAAATTAAGTTGTGAGGATTTTGCTACCTTTCACATTTCTGAAGGATGTGCTTGTAAGGCCTTCACTCACTTTGACATTAATTACATTGAATAAATATTTTTTTCAGTACTGTCATGCAACAGATTTTCTTTATTCGGGCAGGGAAGACATGTGTCTAGGAGTCTAGCAATATGACCTTCCCCTGCAATACAGGAGACACAGATTTTAATTCCTTTGACGTGGAAGACAAGAACAGACATACTGAGTCAATTCAGGGTTAATTTTGTTTTCATCTACTGTTCTGTCTCAGGCAGGGCCAATAATAGGTGAATAAGGTATAAACAGCTCAGGAATAGCACTTCGGTCTTTCCAGCTTTTAGATGTCTGTCTCTTTATGTTTAATAATGCTTGATGTGCTTTTGTTACATAAATTCTTTTAATGGGAGATCAGATCTGTCATGTCCCAGAAGGTAGATTCAATTCCTCTCATACAGTAAAAAGGGAAATATTTATGCAAGGCTGCAGATGGTGATGTACAGAGGCTGATCCCAGGATGACTTGGCAGCTGCATACCCCTCTTCAGACATGAGCTCAGGTCTCTGTTGCTTCCCTGGGCATGGGGACTGCGAGTGAGAGGTATATTAAGTATACTAACAGAGAGTGTGATGGGTGGTTTCGGTAGGAAATGGTGTGACTTTAGGAGAGAATTCATAGTTGAAGAGTCTGAAAAACCACAAATACCTTTCTTAAAGCCTGAAGGCAGTCCAAGACTACAGTTACACCTTCCACTGACCACCACTTATCTCAGTATTTTCTGTGGATCATGTTCAAAGGAGCATTGTGGGGAGAGGTGAATCCCAATGAGATCCTGGAAGCTGCAGCCTCACAGTCTCTGTATGGATTAAGCTGTCAATCATTTATTTTCCTTTCATTGTGTTTGGTTCCATTTTCTCAGACGGACATAAAGACTCTGCAGGGCAACAGAGCCTTTCCCACATACTAAATGTTTTCAGCTCTTTTCTTGTTGGTGATGATGGATTGGCTGTGCTTCTAATGTAAAATTTGACTTTCCATGCCAACTTCAGAGGACATTGACCTGACTCTCCAGATGAGTCCTTACACTGCCTTCAGGATGCTCACAGGATTGCCTGTCCTTAAGTCCTGAACCCAGGTGCCTGGGACAGTCTCAGATTCAACATAGGAGTGCAACATTGCCTCACTGACCTGCAGTGGCTGTCCCATGAGACTGCTTACAGGTTGTCTAGCATCAGATGCCCAGCTGGGTATGACCACTTCTTTTTTAATGCCTCCAATCACTTCGCACAGCTAGAATTAAACCCCTTACTAATGCTTTCACTATTGCTTTCCCAGTGGGACACTGGGTGTCCAGCAAATTGAAGAGTAAGCAGAGCCAGTGAAGGAGTTTTGGAATACTTGCAGAATTTTCTTTTTGGAGAGGACAGACCCGAGCTCTCTGAGATTTGCGGGGTTTGGGAAGTACTTGATAATGTTAGCTAAAATCCTTTCCCCCCCCCTCGCAATACTCTGCTCTCTTCCTTTTGTCACACAACCTTCCTGTGCTATCTCTACAAAAAGGCTTTCATGCAATCTGGCCGGTCAGCTGTTGCCTTTGTGCATTGTGCTGGATCTGGGATAAAGCGTAAGCTCTTCAGTTCTGATGCTGTAGAGTGTGGCATGAATGCTGATGGTGCTCTGGTTAAGAAAAAAAGCAACCAAGCAAACTTACAATCAACAATAACTTAAGCAGATTTGAGAACAACGAGTTCCTAGAAGTAGTTGCATATTTAAAGGTTTTCCTTTCTTTTCCCCTTTCAAAGCTATTTACATTGGTATTTTCACTATGGAAAACTGCATTGTTAGGAAACAGACTTGTGTGTAGATCTCAATATTACAAGATTTGTCTTCAGAAAGCCACTTAGTGCTTGAAGCAGAAGCTAATCGACTTCACAAGTGTGATTTCCATCCTTTGTCTTACAAACAGCAGCAAGCAATCACACTTCAGAACATCACCTTGAGAAAGAGCAAGTACTAGTCTGTTGCTGTACATCTTTTCTGTATGTTTCTATTTCTAGAGGTTTTCTCCACTAATCTAAGGTGTGTCAGTGTGACCACTATGTGAAGACAGAACAATCTGCTGCAGCAGAGCTGCTCCAGGGATATAGCTTAATCAGCCCTAGGGTGAGTTCTTAAGTAAAGGACGTGAGAAGGTGTAGAAAAGAAGCAAAGATGTGAAATCTTTGAAAAGAAGAATGTGACTTACTTTGTAGAGGGGAGCAATTTTATTACACATTGCAAGCATAAATAGAAAGCAATTCTCTTATAAGCTGTGACCTATGAGTTGAGCATCCATCCTGATTTCCCTTGCTGTAGTGAGCAGTTAGAAATGAAACTCACATGGATCCTCAAAAATATGGAACAGAAAAGTCCCTCCTGTGCTGTAATCAAGCAGACAGAACCCTCCCAGTGCACATCAGTACTAAGACCACAATTCATCCTCTTGAGAAATGTTTTGTACATTAGTTTGATTAGTTTTTACCCAATACCCTGTTGCTTTAGGTATGAATTAGCAAGGCAGTGTTGGCACTGTGCATAAATGTCTGCAGCTCTGTTTTCAACACTTTTTAGAACTGACTTCAGGTATCAGTGTGGGCACTAAGCACCTTTACTTGTAGTAGCCTATGTATCTAATTTTGAGAAGGACCAAATGCTGCACTGTAAGGCACTTTGTGATGTAAAAATGAAGATACTCCAGCTCTGGCTGTAATCAGCAGGCTGTCAAGTTGTATCAGCCTTTGGAAGCAGAGCAGAGGAGAAAATAGAAAGTTAAGTGCTGTGGAGCTGCAAATGAATGTTATGCATGGACTGACCTCTGTGTGTTTGTTCTTCATTGGCAGGTTGATGACGCCTGGAAGTGAAATTCGGTTTGTCCACAAGCACATGGGTCTGGTGCCAGGCTGGGGAGGAGCAGCCCGGCTGGTGCGGATCGTGGGCAGTGGGGCAGCCCTGCAGCTGCTGAGCGGGGCCACCCGGGTGGACCCTGAGAAAGCTTTGCGCCTGGGATTCTCAGAACACACCCTGTCATCTTCAGACGAAACCACAGCCTTAGAAGAAGCCCGAGCCTGGCTGAGCCAGTACACAGAGGGTCCAGTCAGTGTGATTCAGGCTGTGAAAAAGGTGGTGACAGCAGGAAGAGAGCTCCCATTGGAAGATGCCCTAAGGACAGAGAAGGACATTTTCGGAACTGTATGGGGTGGGCCTGCCAATTTGCAGGCATTGGTTAGAAGACCAAAACATAAATGATGGTCAATGCATAAGAAATGTTCTTGGCCTTTTTGCAAACAAAGCTTTCACTAAAGCAGGCATTAAACTTGAATCATTTAAGGACTTGCCCATTTAAAACTGGCATTAACATTCCTGCCATTCACTTCAGGCAGACATATTTGGTGTGCAACCACAGAGAAATCCCTGGCAGATTCTTTACTGTCCTAATCACCCACTGAATAGAGATTAGTGAAATTAGTATGTAAAGGTAAATATTGTGCTGAGAATAGAACTATAATTCTTTTGGAATGAAGCTGAAGATTATTTTCTTTGGAGTTAATTTTTTCTAACTGGTATGGAAATTAATTACTTGAAAGTTATAAGGTTTATTTATTTGCGGAACAGGTGCATCTAAAGCTGCAAAATATGAGTTCTCCAACATGAGATCAATGTCTTTAAACAGCTTGGAAAGGGTGATAACTAGTGATAGTTTTTATTTTTTCATCTCCAGTCAGTTCTTCACTATTCAAGGATACTTCAATTTTAATGGTGTTTTTACAGAAGAAGCTTTAACGTACTGAGACCTCCTAGCCCTCGTTCACTGACACTGATTCAGGTTTTTAAATGCATTTAGGTGTGTTCTTACTGCTCAAGGAATCAACTACCTACACATGCCCATATGCTGGACCTGTGCAAAGCTGGTGACCTGGTTCTTTACATAGAATCTAGTTGAAATCCTGGAAGGACATGACGTATCATGCTCCCAAATGGGATGTCCTTAACTGACTGAGTGTCAGAGTACTTCAGCATCCTGGTAAGACTTGTGTGTGGATTTGTCTATATCTTTCTTCAGAGCATTTTTTCTGGTAGGGCATATTTGGGCTGATCAGATTTGGAACTGAGTCTCCACTTCATGGCAGTGACTATTCAAGTAATTAGAGAAATCATTGGGGAGGGTTTCCCCTTTAGAAAGTAGAAACTGACAGAGTCCCTACTTTGGCACATGCTTCTTAAAATTAAACATCTATGAGAGCAAAACCATACAGACATATCTGTGACTGAGAGTTTCATGTACTGTTGGTTAGGATACACTTGTCTCTAAATCCAGCAGGGACTGAGATCTGAGCCCAGGACCCAAGTACTCCATGGGAGCATGTTAAGGAGGAAAGTTTGGGCTGGGTGCTTGGCCTGACCAGGCATAACTAGCTCCAGATGATAGAAAAAGGTCCCCTAGGAAAAGAAGGCAATTTCTTGGATGGAAATCCATGTTACAATTTCTACAGTGTGGCAGGATTCTTGAGTTTTAGACAATAAGGTAACTACATGTTTGAGGATTTGGGGACAAATCGATGATGGGAATTTGGCTTGGATTGCCTGTTAAGATTCTGCAGGTTTTGAGCGGATGCTGTGATCTGCTGGGGATGTTTTACTATATGGTTTTAACAGCAAGGAGCGTGAAGCAATCAAGAGAAATGCTGAAGAAGAGGATGTGTTTTGACTTGGCACCTCAGAGAAGATAAGGAACTTGCCTCCACCCTGTAGATCCTGCATCTTTGCCTTAATATCTGAAACATTGATGGAGAACGATTTCAAATCTCTCTTCCCCAAACATAAAGTTCAATTTTTATTTTCAGGTTAGAGAAGAGATAGGAATGAGAACATGAGGAGATAGTGTTCTGGTATGTGCCTCTTTCTCCCCCTGCCCCTTTTTATTCAATAGCTCAGTTGTTAGTCCCCTGTGTAGCTGTATTCTTTCCTGTGCCCTAAAATACTTCAAACCTGTTTCTTCACAGGTATGAATGTTTTAATATAGTCGGGCAGCACTTGACTGTTTAGTAATGAAACTATTCTGCTTTTTATGAAGTTCCTCAAGACTCATGAGGGACTCCAGACTGCCAGCATCACTGAACCTTCAAAGCACGCTCCAGTCCGTACTCATCCAACTTTTTGCAGCAATAGCACATCACATTGATGTGAGTCAAAAAAAAACTGCTTTAAAGGGCAACTGGTTATGTCTTTGCTAGTAGCAAGAATAGATTTGCCATTACTAATACAGTAATTACATTTTTTAAACGGGTGTGAAAATTGCTTAGAACCTGAGTAAGACTCTTGAATCTTTTTTTTTCTTTAGTGTATTAGACTCATAAATGTACTGTGTACTGGGTGATATGAACTTGAAAAGGAGGAAATTGTAGCAAAAAAGCAGATTTTGGTTTCCTTCACATTTTGAACCAGATGTGTGCTGCCAGTAAGTGAAACTCAGTATGTGCACCTATTGGGGATCTCTTACCATTTTGATTTGTAAACAATGAGTTTATTTCTCATTTCAGCAAATGCATTTCCCCAGCCACCCTCTCTCACTTGTATCAAAGGTCAACGTTTGCTTCTAAGAAAACAGGACAAATATTTAAGTAATACAGAACAAGACATGTTCAGACAGAAAGGATTACGGAAACTCATTTTGTTGATATCATAAATATGCCAAACATAGGTACAGGACATTCTGAAGATCATCACAGGTTTTGATCAAGAATTTTGTGAGTAGTCTAATACCATATTCTCTGGTCTATTTTCTATTTTAAAAGCTATTTTAGAGCCCTTCATAGGAAAACCAGCCCAAGTAAACGACCATGAGTGCTAGGATGAGATCTCCAAACTGAGATGAAATGGAATCCTGTTTTCCCCTTTGAAAGCTAAATGCTTTATTTCATAGAATACTTATCATCTTAAATTGACAAATACCTGTAACCAGCAGCTGATAAGCATTTGTATTTTCTTTACAATTATTAAAGACTACAAGCTTCCTTTCAGATTTTCCTCCCCTTCTGAAATTGCTTAAAACCAAACAAGCTCTAAATGCACAAAATAAATTAGAAACATCAAAATTAATAGTCCCAGTCTCCTAATTAAATAGCATGCTAGCTTTTTTACTTCCTAGGGGCTAGTTTGCCAGCTCCCTTCTCAGCAAACTAAGTTTCCTATTACATTGTGAAATGCCCATCTTGTTCTTTCCTCTGTGTAGTGGATCATGCTGAGGGCTTAATGGGGTTTGGATTCTGCACCAAGCATTTAAGGGTTGGGTACTGGAGATCACTTTTAGCAATATGAATACTTCTATCTTATTTGCTGTTGATAGAAATATACTAAGCAAATAGTCAATCTAGATAAGCAAGATGTTCTTGCAGAATGCTTGGATCAGTATCTGATTTTTTTTTTTCCATGACATAGGATTCCTGTAGATTACGTAGTATTTAAATTTCCTTTTCCCTTTTGCTCCACTGTGCATTTCTCTGGCTGTGCTGTACAAGTTGAAAATCACTTAATGCATGGGATTACAGAAAACCACAAAATGCAGTGTGGCTGTGGCTTTGCTAAAATATACAGAGAACATGTCTCCTGCTGAAAGTAATGGTTTAAATATAAGATGGGAATTACCAGTTACTACTTTTTCCTATCTTGATCTGGGGAGTGCATTTACCACTCTGATGATTGGCTATTAATCTCTCACTAGCCTTTCTTTAACTAATTTTAGTACTTCATAGCTGCAGTCAGCCAGCAGGAGCCAAAAGCAGCATCATGGGTGGGGGGGCTGAACAGAGGTCTGCCTCTACTTTGGTTAAAAAACCCAAGGATAATCACTGATGAAACTATTCGTAGATTGTTTGGGCTGAAAATCCTGAAATTAGGTATATAGTGAGTCAAGTTCTTGTATATAACTTCTTGATTTCTTCAACACATACCCCTCACATAAAGTAAAATGTGTGTACATAACAGAAGTGTTCTTACTGAAGGTCTTTGCAGCACAAAGTCAGACTTTGATTAGAACCACTGTGTGCTAACTCAAAACAGAGAAATAAAATAGCTAGCAACAGAGAAAAAACCATTCCATCCTGTTTCCTTCCCAAGTCCATGTTACTGGCTTATTTTCTTATGGAACTGAAAGATGATAGTAAAAATCTGTGATCAAGAGCATCTATTCGTAGCTAAGAAAGAAGGAAATCTTATTTCATCCTAGTCTCCTCTGCACTTTCCTGACCCCCTGATCTTACCTGTAGGCAGAGGAAACAAACAAGAGTGCTGGCACAGCTTTGTCCAAGATTAGACGTGTCAGCCATCACTACAGTAAGAAGAACATTTTAGAAGTTTAAATCTAGCATCTTTAAAAATTGGCCCTTTTAATTCCATTCAAATGGTGGTTTGTCTAAAGCAACTATTGTTTCAAGATCTGTAGTAGCTGTAGATCAGCTACTGTCCCTTTCCATTCAGGGATACATACTCTAAGAATTGGAGTTTAATTAGCTTGATTATAAAGGTTGAATCCAGAATCAACTAATGCTGTTTCTCACTTTGAAAAAAAAATGTAAAACAACTGCCACAGACAGAAAAGACAAGCTCTGCTTTTCAAGATCTGGCTTCTACCATTCTGTGATACACCGAAGTCCATTTGTAGAAATGCAGCTCCTAGATTGCTAGTACATGCACAAACTACTCCTGTGCTGCCACTAGTTTTGCTATGAACAGATAAACAGCAATACCATCCTTAATATCCATGTCCTTTGTTGCAGGGTCAACTTTGGTAACTTCTGCTCTTTTATTTCAGTATTTCTGCTGCTAAGGTTGTGTGTGATACTTCTGCCCACCATCAATAGTGAAGTGAGTTAATCAGCTCTTCAGATGAGAAATGTGTGTTGTCTGTGAGCATTAAGCCTGCAACTCATGACTTTTCAGTAGAAAAGACGATACTCCTACAGCGCTGTGTTTGAGAGACAGCCAGTCAGGGATGCAAGAACTTCAGGATGCCACTCAGAGCCAGTCCTCTCTTTTGGCAAAAATAGGAAGCTGTTTTATGATAATTTTCTTTGAAATTCCTCCAGTAAAGTTCAATTAAACTGGAAACATATCAGAGATTGTTACTGATAAAATGTAGTTTTATTAAATTATAAATCCTGTAACAAAAATGAGACAGATCAAGAAAGACTTCAAAAACAAAACTACAAGGACTAGATGGCAAAGCCAGTGAAAAAGCCATGGAGAGCGTATAGGATTTGCAACACAAGTTAACAGCATTTTTACATTTCCATTGAAAGAAAGTAAATGATTGCTCTTGTCTAGCAAAAACACATTTTAACTTCAAACTCACATCTATTTTCTCACATTAAATTAAGCATCCTGCTTCACACTCAACACCTTGCCTGATTCCACATTGCTTTAGTGTTCTTTTCATACATCAATCCATGCAGAAAGTAGTAAGACACTTAATGCAACAGTCAGGTAATGAAGACAATTCAAGTTGTACAGTAGATATACATTGGCTAAAGAGGGATAGAGTATCTCCAGGGGAAAATGCTACAAAATAAACACAAGACATTCTCAAGAAAACTGAGCATTGCTAAGCAGCTTTCAAACCATTAACAGGACAACCCAGTTTCCTATAGTTAAGAATCTTCCAGCTGAGACATGTTAAGAAACTTAAGTTAAAACAGGCCAAATCTGTTTCTCCCCTTCACCCCACCCTCCCACCAAACACACTGCTAGGTTGAGTGTGATGCCAATGTGGACAGGAAATTTACAGAAAATTACAAGTGAGTTTTTTTTTGCATGGCTCTAGATTTAAACTTCAGTGACTGTGCACTGTCCATCTGGCCTTCTAGATCTTACACTTGTGTTTACCACCCCACCCCCTGCCACTGGTCTATCTGCTCCTGACTGGTTTGCACTGGCATTCAAGTGTCTCTGCTGGACAGAGGACGAGTGGTGCTGAATGTGGGCAGACACATCCTCGCTATCGCTGCTGGCATCCGATTCGGTCTCCTCAACAGAGGTGTCGGGGGCTGGCATCCTACCAGAAGACGATGATTCGTGGTCTTCTTCTCCCTCTCCCCTATGACTCCTCTCAGCCATACTGTCTCCATTTATTTGCAAGTGGGCAAAAGAGTTCTCTAGAGAATTACTTGCATCAGGTGATGGCGTTGAAGGACTCAACAGCTGACCATCCAGTGATGGCAGGGGCCTCACAGAAATGGGTGCTAGAGGCTGCACAGCTGCAGCCCCTGGAGTCAGTGTGCTGTCTGCACCGTCGGCGGAGCTCTCTCTTGCCAGGTTGACAGTGTTAGTGTCACAGTCCAGCCTCAGCCCAGCCACTCCCTTCTTTGGTATATCTATTATGTCCCGTTTTATTTTTCTGCGACGTCCATGCTCATTTCTCCTATACTGTACCATATTTTCAAGATCCGCTACATATAAAAACCCAGCAATTAGCATTTCAGTGCTCTTTTTACCCTTGGCAAAGGCATCTTCCAGCTCTCTGCTGGTACGTTCATCATACTGCCACCAACCATTTCTACCCTCATAGTACCAAGCATATTCTCCATTGCCTCTGCTTGCTGCTTTGAGTTCTTCAGGTGACAATAAGGTTGGCTTGTCAAGAAAATCCTCAGGAATCTCCTGCCGGCAGAGTGCACATCGTTTCCCAAGCCAAGAAGCTCCCTTCACACACAGATAGCAGAAAACATGTTTACAAGGCAGACTTACAGGATGGACACATGTTTGCAGACAGATAGCACATTCGGGGACTGGCAGGGAAGGTGCTGCATTAGTACATGACTCGTTTGTCTTCCTGTTTGTGGGAAGCATGTTGATTGAATGATCTATTTCACCACAGCCAGCCATCCTGCAGAGGATCAAAGAGATTTAAATCAGTTTATTGAGTCAACTTAAACTGGCAGCTTGCATCACATTTGACCTCAATATCCACAAAATGAGATGCTTACCTTAATTTAAGGTAAGTTACCATTTATGAAGCTTAACTCAAAGAAATTGATAGGTTTACAGTCTGTTTCCTGAAGTGACAGACTAAATCAAGTACTGGGAGAATTTCTTTTGCTGATTACCAATCTTTTATCTGTTTAATTTTCACCATGTTAACACACCAAGTTAGAAAACAAATTGTGGCGTTTCGTCTATTTGTTTGCTGAAGCAGTGTTGACTAATGAACCTTCAGCCAACCAGTTACTTTGGTGCCTCCTCAGGAAATTTAAAGAAACTCTGGTTCTCTCCTCAAGAGGTGACCTAACTGCAAACATTGAACTTAAAACAACCTCTCTTCAGACTACTGGTGATCCTCCATTTGATTAAGGGATTGCCTGAACAGTACCTCAGACTAGGTTTACACAGTAGAAAGTATGCCTGGCAACAGCACCCAGCTGAAGTATTCCCCAACTCTGTTTCTTAGTTCCCATGCACCATGGTCCACTGTCTCTCAAACTGGGCTCAGAACCACCACAGGGCTGCAGAAAGAACCAGACTGAAAAACTCAGGCAGCCTTTTCAAAAATACCTTGGATTCCTTCTTTCTAAACATCAAGTGAACTCCCTGATATATCTGAGTGCCTCTTGAAAGGTATCACTGCAGATCAGCAGAAGCAGCAGTATATTCCAGCAGACACACAATTCTGACTTGATTGGCTTGTCAAGTCATTGACTTTACTTTCTCTGGCCATATCTTATTTCTGTCATTAAAGATGATTTTGTAACTGTAAGAGAACGGGGAATGCAAAACTGTGTCACTTTGGCACTGTGTAGGATTTAAGTAGTTGAAAAATTTTAGCCTAAATATGCAAATGCCTTCTCAACTACACTTTTGCCATGGCAATCTTTCACAGTCTGTTTCATGGTAATTTTCCTTTTACTTATTAGCAGTCAAAACCAAACACCAGATATCAAATGAGGGAGAAGAATGGGCTTTGGGGAACAGGGCCTAAAAAGGTGCCTTTTTTCATTTAAATCCCCAAGGAACTTTGAGACTGATACTCAACAAAACAGCCTTTCAGTGAAAGTAGTCTTTGTTGTACAGGCAGCTAGGAATAGTTCATGGAAAACTACCACAGGCACGTGGGTCAGAAGGGACCTTCAGAGATCATGTAGTCCAGTCTCCTGCCCAACATGGCACCAACACCAGTACTATATTAGATCAGCCGTGACTTTGTCTAGCTGAGTTTTTTTGAAAAGGTCAAGGATGGAGATACCACAGCCTCCCTGGACAGTCTGTTCTAATGTTACACACATTTCTAGCAGAATGTGTTACCTCAAGAGAAAATGCCTAGTATTACTGCAAAAGCCTCCACTGCTTTAAAAATCTTATAAATACACGCAAAGATTAAAAAAAAAAAAAGCTTCAGTATCTGCATTTATCTTTACAATAATGTATTATATGCTGTTTACTTAAAAATATATTTCTGTATGCTGTCTGTTCCCTTCTATCACTATAATTTCCTCTTGAAAGACCGATGCCTCTTTAATCCTTTTTTATCAAATAATTCTTTTAAAAGCTCTACGGCTCAAATATTTTTCCCGAAGTAGCACATAATTGCATCCACCTATGTTTCAGTTTTGTATCTGAATTTCTTTCTCTGAGATTAATGACAAATCTGCCTAGTAGTTCTTAAATCAGCAAGCCAGATGCAGACACAGCATTACCTACCAGCTGGTAACTATGTTTTCACTCCACAGTACACATCTCTATGTGAGATCCATGCTAACAATGTTGCGAACAAGTTGCTTTTTGGAAGCCTCACACTTTTGAGGTTATATTTTTATAATAAATAGATTTTTACTAGCAAAACTAGGGGCTTATAATGAGAAACTTATTAGAAAAAGGGGAGAAGAAAATCTACTGAGATTTCAAAATACCCATGAACACAACCCAACCAGTATTTCACAACAGAGGAGCTGACAGAAATCCATGTATTGATTAATTTGCACTAATCGTGGCTGAGGTAAAGGATCTGTATTTTCAAGTGCCCCCATAGGGAGATACTACTGTGCAAAAAGCCACAGCAGCAGAGATTTTTACTTTCATGCTACAGTTTTACAAAAGGCTGCTTTCTCCCTGAATATCCTTTATAAGGTTATCCTTTTCAGACTCAAAGAAAAGATCAGAACAACCTATAGGTAACTAACTTCTATAAAAGTCACGTATCATAATTAAGATTTTGGAGGTGATTTAAATGCAATGCAGGGGTTACAAAGGCAATGCACTTTGATAAACAAAATTCTGATGCCATGAGCTAAACTAAAGATAGTTTACTAACTAACCAAGGTAATCTAAAAGAAGAGTTAAAAGTTTTCACCTACTCACTGAAAGCACAAAATTATAACATTTGAACTGTGCTCAGTCACCCATTAATTTGAGGGATCTTTGATTCCTTACTAGATGAAGACAATAATGCAGGATATGAAAATGAATAAATGTCTTATCTTGAAATTCCTATGTGATTTCTTAATGACTCTAAGGAAAATGTTATGCATACAATGAATAGAGCTGGAGGAGCAAACCCTTATCTCTAAAAAAGTGCTACTCAGGAACATAAAACTCTTAAAAGATAAGCACAACTGCAGTCACATGTGCTCAGAATGCAATACAATTATGCACTTAAAGATTCCTATCAACTAAACTGATGTTGTCTCACTTCTTGTTTTTAAAGGAAGATCTTAATTAATCCTTTTTGGTTTACCTTTCTAAGAATCCAATCTAGGTTACAGAGTTTGTTTATAAGCTAGTATGAGAATGTACATGTACATAGATTTTTACTGAAGAGTAATCCTTCAGAACAGAAAAAAAAACATCTAGGACTGCTATTCTGTACATTATGGCTGTGGAATCACTTTCATTGCATTAAAACCTAAACAAAACTGACTACACAATATTTTTCCTGAAATTAAGAGTAGTATTTTATAACGTGGTTTAATCAAAATAGGTTTCACATCAGAACTGTTATCAAACAGGAAAGCTTTGTTTTTTGGAGGACTGGGTTCCCTTAAGACATTCCTGACAACACAGAAAATCACACTATTGATCAGTGAGGCTAAACATTAATTAAACACAAGGGAAAATTCTAAAAACAATTTTATTTGAAGGATCCTTAATTCAGGTATAAATAAGGGAACAATAAGCATCTGAACTCTGCATTTTAACATAAATACAGCCTAAAGCCAACTGAGAAGGAATTAGTCCAAAACCTTGCCAGATCCAACCTATCTCTCTATTATTCTTTTATGAGTTTTTATTTTTAGTATTAAAACATACATTTAATTTCTAAACTATGGGACCTTCATCAACACACAAATTATGGAAGAGGTGATGTATAACAACTACATGAAAACACCCCAGGCCTTCTTGGACTCTATTGGAAGGAAAAGTAAGTTCACAGAAAACCACCTCAAAACTGAGTATTTTTGCATTTCAATCCAGGCAAATTCTAACTGCAGCTAAACAGTCCATCAAGGAGCTGACATGTATAAGTCCATTAACAAAACAACAGCTTACTTTTTCTGAATAATTTCTACTGAAGCATGCCACAAGACTAAAATGTCCTCTCTTCAGACGTCTCCAGCTAGGATGGCAGGTCCTCCTTCCCAAGGCTGGCTCATTCCTGACTTGTCCTGCCCAGTGGTACACTACAGTGTTTCAGCTTCTCTGCAAACTAACAGAAAGCAAATAATACCACCATTACAATGTTGTCCAGAGGTACAAGCAAGCAAAATACAATGCCATGGTTCTGTTACAGAAAAGAAGTTATTACGCTTGTATTTACTTGATGCAGGCTATTTTCAATAAGAATATTATCAGAATTCTGTTTTATTTTTTGCAATAATCAATTTGGCTCACAGTTTTTGTTTTAATGTCTGGGTTAAGCAAATTATCCTTTTTTTAAGTACTATAAAAGGCAATTATTTTTGATTATAGTAAGTTAATTGCTCATTTCCATGCAGTGACCATGTACACAAAAGGAGAAACAAGACCAAAGTTAGGACTATGTTATGTTTATGCAAATTTAACCTCTGATAAATGACCCCTTATATTTACGCAATTTAAAAAGTCACAATGGCTTCCTAAAGCTGTTTATAAAAGTATCCATATCATATCATTCCAAAGGACCATGTAGACTTGTGTGTTGTCTCTTAACAGGGACTACAGTGAGATGCTTGAGTTAAAAACAGCGTATGTGAATAGCTGATTTCCCCTGGGTCCTCTCCATATTTCAAGGCTCAGATCCTTCCATCCTTGTCCTCTTTTACAGAGATCACACACATTCATTTAATGAATGAACCTCAGAACCGTTCAGCACTTTTTTCTTTATAAATCTACATATGTATGTTCTCAGACCAGCCCATGAACAAACTCTATGACCTAGATTTGATACTTAACCAGGTAAACAAACAACAGCAAAAATTGATTAGAACCTTCCTTTATTTCTTTAAAACGTGCTGAAAGGCTCTGAGGTTCATCAATGGAAAAGCATGTGATCTCTGAAAAAGAGGACAACAATGCAACTCGGTCTCCACACCTCTGAGGTGATAGATACAGCCCTCTTCGGGGTAGCAGATAAAGTCAGTCACATAAGTTTGGCGTATGTCACCAACCAGAACCTGAGCCAAGTCAGTTCACAAATACATAATAATCACTGGAAACCAGTAGGAAGGGAGACCATCAAGATTTCACTCTTGCATTCTCACACCCCTAAACAGGAAGGTCTTGATCTAAAAGAACCACTTTCAGGGAATCCTTTGTAAAAAAACCTGATGAGCCACAGAGTAGCATCCTCCTTCTGGACTGTAGCTTTCTGGATGATTCATAAATTTTGAACTACAATTTCCAGTTGCTGCAAAGCATTATGTACAGGAATGATTTGAAGCAGACCTCAGAATGACACCTCTTCGATTCCAATCTGCTCAAGTAAAAATCATTTCAGCATTTATACAGTGCAGATTAGACATGTAAGAGTTAAGTCAAGGAGTGATAAGTCCCTGAAAGAACATGGGGCATTATAGTGTTCTGTGCTACAGTCCTTCAGCAAATGATTGAACATTTATCCTTAACAACATCTGACTTAAGTGGTCAGATGCCTTCAGTGTAAGAAACATTACTCAAATATGTTATTTACTTTATAGCTGAGCTCCATGTAATGTTCTGTCCAGATATTTTTAGAAAGAGCTCCTAAGGAAAAAATGCAAAAATTAACAAGCCTATCCACACCTTTTCTCCCCTCATCGTTCTAGCAGCTTTCCTTTCTTCACAAGTCAATCTGAAACCAAGAGCTGCATTCGCGTTAAAATGATGGCTCCACTAATCCGTTGAGACAAGATACTATGTTTTCTAAGATCAAAGAGACAGCTGCAACAAGCTTGATGCTGTGGGTGTGGTGTTCATCAGTCCTTCATCTTGGGAACCGGCTTTCTGTTACTTTGGTACATATCACCTGAAGCCTTTTATCTGTTATCTCTCACAATCCACTACTAAAGGTAGCACATCATATAACCAAATGTTATGTGGAGACGGCAGAAAAAGGTTGAGTCAGTTCTGAGAGATTTCTTAGGAAATAAAAATGCATGCAAGGTATGTAATTATACCTAGAAGAATCCAATTAAAGCATAATTACAGGATTGTGGCAGAGCAACTTTCCAATTGCTGCACAGCTCTTGAAAAGAATTAATTCACACACTAACATCAGGTAACCTCTACGTTTCATGACGTGGTTATTTATTTAATAAGCCAGTCTTGAAAATTCTACTAAACGGACTGACAAACACCTGTGGTTATACACACGTGCCCCTTCCTGCATGATGACTCCTCCTTTGAAGTCAAGTGGGCAAGAGCTGTGCTCTATACTTAGCGATTAATTTTCTCTTTTTCCTGTTAACGCTCTCTGCAGAAACCTGCACGTATCCCTTCCTAAGTCCCTGCATCCTATCACCTGTTCTGAAGTATCACCTGTTTTGAAACTTTAAAGATGCAACAGATGAAGGACAGCCATCAGGACCAAAAATTCAAATTGGGCAACATCCCTTCCCAAACAGGCTCAGCCAGCACGTAATTGCTCTCTTTGTCCCCTTGAATGCAATTTTAAGATCCTGAAGCGCTGGACTTCCCGCCAGACCGACCTATCTCCCAAAACTGACTTCAGGTTCTCCTTAAGAACAATGTCAAGTTTTTACTCGGCCAAGATGGAATTAAACCATTTCTCATCAGTTCGGTCAACTGTGCCTATCAAATTATCATGCCCAGTAAGTTATCAGGCCCAGCTTCTTCCACCTTTTATTTAAAAACTTTTTAAAAAAAGAACAAAACCAGGAACATAAATATTTTTTAACAAGCTGGCTCCTAAATGTTGATGATAAGTTACCTACAGTCTTAAGCCTCCTCTGTAAGTAAAGTCTTAGCTTTTTAAAAACAAACAAGCACAAACCATTGGTAAATTCAGCTAACACCAGCTTTTAACCAAACCAGACAAAACTATCATTTGAGTCCTACTTCGAATGACAGATAATCTCACAAATTCAGCAACTCCATACAGATTACGCTAAAACATCTATCACAAATTCACCATTTCCTCACTTGAAAACTCAGCAGCTACAGTATTACTTTGTAAGAGTAAATTCTCTTCTGTAATAAAATACTTGGATTTTTTTTCCATCAAGCTCCCTAATTTGTAACTCAATTACAGGGGGGTAGGACGGGAAAAAGATCCCTAGAACTCTGCCCTTTCCCCCAAGTCACCGTGAACCAAACAGAGGGGAGAAAGAAGGTGGCTGGTTTATTTAACAGGAAAAATTACTCTCCTGTCTGAAGGTCTGCTACTGTCAATACAGTACCAGCTGAAGGTACTGAGTCTTATCAGATATTTTTAAAACTGTCCCTGGCACTGGATAACACAACAGATAAATAACCTGTTTCCTGTTCTTGCCTACCTTTCTGTATCCATTTCTCAAACTTAGAAAATCCTCAGGAATTGTTGATCGTGATAAGGCTTCAAGTTGCCTGTCATTCCTTATCCCTTATTACACATTAATAACCCAACATTTATATGTGCAACTGGAAATGAATCACAAAAGAAGTCAAGTGCAGAAGAGTCAACCATTTTGGTATTAAAATGCTACGTATGTATTGAAAATAAAGTTGCTACAATCAAAACACTAATTGTAAATTTTGAGCGTATATAATATTTTAATCTATTTAACAAAGAAAATGTTCATTTCTCAAATAAAATCAGTGTGCAAGAAGTGAAGCAGAGACTGGTTCATCCTAAGTTATCAATGCTTCAGAAGTAAGTACATATCTTCCTATATATAGACTTGATTAACATGCACAGAAGAGAGGGAAAAAAATCAATTTCAATATAAAGACTTTTCCAGGAGACCACTATTCAATAGGCTATAAAAATACTGCAGTTCCAGCTCTCTAAATAAACGACAATTCAATTACATCTAAATTGATGCAATATATTTTGAAGGAAACAAGAACACAACTTTTTCTTTCACTCAATACAGATTTTGCATTATAGCGATTTAAACAACCAGCACTCTGATATACTTGGAAAGAAACCACAGTTCTAACCACATAAAACCATAAAGAAAGTTCTTGCAAAAACATTCAATCTTTAAGATTTACTCAAGACAACCAAATGAAGATTAAGATTTCACTGTGCCTTCAATACTATTACAAGCTGTAATTTTTAGTAGTGTGTTTTTAGAGATGCTTCACAATCTATTTTTAAGTAGCCCACTGTTCAGAGGCAGCAGTTAACAAAGCAAGCAAGACGGGATTTTTAGTATTACAAACCTGAGAAAACCAAAACGTTTAAAGCTCTTCTCCCTGCTCCTCCGTGTAATCTTTCAATACATACCACATACCAGTAACAAAACCTACAGTATTTCTCAGTCGTAACGCAGAAAAGTTGTACTAAGACTACCCCCCCCTCAGTTTTAGTTGTTTTTAACTATTTCACCATTCCGATTGTCTTGTTCCTACGAAAAACTCCCATCTACTTCATATTTTGCAACGATTTTTCAGCGGCCGCAACACGTACCGCACCAAAAGCGGGACCCATTTTCACGTCCCATTTTAACATTCCAAAGGGATGCAAATCCAAACACTTGAGCAGTGGCACAAGCTCAAGCACAAAGAAACAAAAGCACTCCCATTAAGGACACTTAGTTACTTGTCTCTGGGTGCTCCGCGCTGCGCTCCCGTGACTGTCCGTGTGTCCAAGCGGCTCCGCTCAGCAGCCGCAGGCAGGGATCGAAGCCGGCCGGGCACAGCGGTGGCACCCGGCGGGACTGAGCCACACTAAAGCCCTGCACATCGCCCTGGGAATTAGAGCCGCGCCGGCTCGGCCAGGGATTCCGCCACGCGTGACGCCGCCACTACTAATGCTCGTGACCTATTTTACTGCCCAACACAACGGAACCCCCAAGTCACGGAGTCGCAGAATCCATCAGGTTGGAAAACACCTCCAACACCACGGCGCCCAGCCCAAGTCGGGGCGCGCACCTCGCCCCGCTCCGGCGCCGGGGCGCCGCCTCCCGCAGGCACACGGCTCTGCGGGAGGGATTCAGCGCGGCACGAAGGACCGGGAGGCTTCTGCCCGTGGCCCCGGCTCTCCCTGCCGGTCCCTCCGGGCGAGGGCCGGGGAAGGCGGCCAGGGAAAAGCTCCCAAGGAAGGCTCCGCCGCCGCGGCTCCCACCGCCGGCACGTGACCCCGCGGGCGGGGCGGGGCGGCGCGGGGTGACACCCTCCCCCCCCCTCCCCGCCGCCACAACAATGCCGGGCAGGGCTCTGCCCGCCGGGCGGCCGCCCCGCGCCCCGCTCAGCGCAGCGCAGCTCCGCCGCCCCTTTGTTCGGGGCACCCACCCGCGCGGGGAGGCCGCGCCGCCCGCTCCGGCTCGGCCGCTCCCCGCTGGTGGCGGGGGGGGGTGGCGGGGAGGCAGCGCCGGCCCGGCCCGGCCCGGCCCAGCCCCGGGCGGCCGCGCAGGGGGCGCTGTCGCGGCGGCCGTTGGTGGCCGCAGCCGCCGCCTCCCCCCGCCCGCTCCGCCGAGCGCGGGGACTTACCCGCCGGGCCGCCGGACGGCCGCGCCGCTGGGCTGTGCTGGGCTCGGCTGTGCTGGGCTCGGCTCTGCTGGGCTCTGCTCTGCTCGGCTCCGCCGCCACCTGCCGCTCCCTGCGGCCCCTGCCGGGACAGCGGGACGCGCCGACGTCACGCGCGGGACAGGGCGGCCGAACGCGCCACTGTGACGCGCCGGGGGCGGGGCCGTGGAGGGGTCGCCCGGCCCGGCCCTGCGGGTCAGAGCTGAGACCCGCGGCTGGCGGGGTCGGGCGGGGCCTCCCCGGCTCCCTGCCCACATCGTGCCGCCTTTGTTGAGGGCTGGCTCTGGCTGGACGCCAGCTGCTCTCCAAAGCCGCCCTGTCACTGCCCTCCTTAGCTGGGCAGGCAAGACGGCACGTAGTGAAAGGCTACTGGGTCGAGATCAGGACAGGGACAGATCAGTCAAGAGTTGCCGTCATGGGCAAAACTGACTCGACGTGGGGAAATTGAGTTACTGCAGTCAAATTAGAGCAGGACGATGGCAAATAAACACAAACCTTAAAACACCATCCTTCCCTCCCCTTTTTCCCAGGATGATTTCTGGCTTCCCACTCCTGATTTTCAGGGTGCAGGTGTTCAGGAACAACCTGCTCTGCTGTGGGTTCCTCCAGGGTCTGCAGGTGGGTCTCTGCTCTGCCATGGACCTCCATGGGCTCCAGGGGCACAGCTGCCTCACCATGGCCTGCACCAGGAGCTGCACAGGAACCTCTGCTCTGGCACCTGGAGCGCCTCCTCCCCCTCCCTCTTCACTGACCTTGGTATCTGCAGAGTTGTTGCTCTCTCTTATTTTCAGTCCTCTCTCCAGCTGAAGCTGTCATTGTGCAGACCTTTTTGCCTTCTTAAACGTGTCCCAGAGGTGCTACCACTATCAGACTGGCTCAGCCTTGGCCAGCAGCGGATCCATCTTGGAGCTGTCTGGCATTGGCTCCATCAGACAGAGGAAAAGCAGCTGCCAGCTTCTCACAGAAGCCACCCCTGTAGCCTCCCAGCTACCAAAACCTTGCTACACAAAATCAAATACACCCTCCAGGGATGAAAGGTCTGGAAGCGGTGGGAACCTCAGTGTGTGTATTCTCTGGAGCTTTCTGTACAGAAAGTGGACAGACGTGCTTCCTAGGGGTTCATCATTCAAGTGTCTGGTGGCAGCACTGGGGGAGATGAACTAGCACAGCTCTGCCATGCTTCACTGACATGAAGGCAGATTGCAGTTGTGCCTGTTCCCGCTGATGAGGCCAGAGAGTGGATACAGCAGGAAGCATGAAGAGTTGCTGCCCTTTCCAGGAGCACATTCTGCTGCTCATTTGCCTGGAAATTTCGACGGCACAACAGTCATGTGAAGTTACTCCTCCAGCTTAACCAGGCCAGTGACTTGTGCTGCTGTGCGTTGCTGGGCCATGTTTGGGTGGCTGTAGAGGTTTGGCTGCTTTGGAGGCCTCCTACAGTGAGGGTGACCCAGATGTGACTTCAAGGGGTCAAACTGTCTCAAAGCTGAGCTGCTACCTTAGATGGAGTGCAAGGAGGAGACTTGTGCTGCTTGCTGTTGTCAGGAATATTTGAGAAGTCTGCTGTATTAACTTTTGAATAAACCAGGATGGGAAACAGTAATCCACACATCATTTAGGCTGGAATGATATTCATTTAGATGGGGGGAGAGGGGCTTTGTGTCCAGGTATTCATTGTACATAAATGGAAAATTAAATGTTTCAACATGACTAAGTGTGCAAACTGTCTAGCAAAGGGCTTGTTAGACCTAAAGTTACTGTTGGCTGCAATTTTTGATTTTAACATGCAGAAGCATCAGAACATCAGAGAACATAAAAGATGAAAATTCCAAGAATATGAAATTCTAAATGTAGTCAGGAATACTAAAAGAAATGCATTTGATTATACTACTTACTGTTTTCTAATGGTCTACCCATAATTACCTCTGGGTTTAATAAATATGACATGTTTGCATCCAAGGACAAACATTTACACAGTAACCTATGCTGCTATTTAAAGAGATCTGTGTGAGGCTGAGTCGAAGAGTAGTGGTTAGAGAGAAGAAAAGGTTGCTTACTGGCAGTGTGTGCTCAGCAACAATAGCCTTAATCCTTTACTGAACCAGACCTTGATCCTGTGGAAGCTATTGAGGCCAAATTCCTGTCAGTTTCTGTTAGAATCTGACCTAAAAAAGGAAAGCAGGCTTGTGCTCTTAAGGGATCTAAAGAGTTCAACCAAAGCTACTCTCACTGCATGCAGCTCTTTAAGAGAAGCAGCACACTTGTACTTAGTATGAAAGAAGTCTATGGCTGTGTTTGGATAGGTTTGTGACTTTCACTGCAACTGCAGATCGACCAAGAAAATGTACTAGTGAACGAAAGATTTTATTTTACACTCCATGAGTTATGGAACAAGCATGGCAGTTAAAGGAATATCAGATAGTGCCAAAGCTAGTAACCAAAGAATTAAATGCATTGTACCTTAATAGGCTAAAGAAAGAAGGAGCATGTAGGTATCTACTTGAATAAATTGGAATAAGGGCATCGGAAATTCTGCTTAAGTTCTAGTAAGATTATACCTCTAAAATGTTACCTACACTATTATCAATCCTTAGTAACATCTCTTATTTCAGTCAGAATGGGTATTATTTAAATATCCTTTTTAGTGTTTCTTTGTACTTGTCTGTTACAATTGAAGCCACCTCAATTAAATCTTTTATACCCCTGCTTGCTTCACAGTTCTATTGTCTCCTATGTTTCTCCTGGTTTATTTTTATTGTTGTCTGTAACGTCATCACTGTGGAATTTATGTCTTTTGCTTGCCACTAAATTATTAATTGAAGCAGTGGATTGAAAAGTAAAGATTCACCAGATTAATTCTTAAAAGACACCACTTCCTTTGTTAAGTGTCTGCAGTCTCACCATTATTATTTTGCTGATGCTTTGATGATGGAGAACTATTAATCCATATGTCAGTTTTTCTATTTATAAAGCATTTTTTTCTGCTTCTTCAAATGTATTTGATACTGTATAAACCTTTGCAGATGTGCCAATGTCTTATATTCATCAAGAACTCAATAGTTGCTGCACTGGTACAGTTAAGATGAGAGGGGAGAAAACAGTTTCCTTCTGCTGTGGTTTTGAGTCAGTTTATATCAAAGCAGTTTGGGGAGTTAGTGTGGAGGTTCTCAGAACTGCTGCAAGTTGCACTAGAAGCAAGAGTGAATGACGTGTGATATCACACCCATTCCACGCTCCTGCACCTTCAATAAACCCTCTGTACTGAACAGAGAAGGTGTAAAGGTGACAGTACTCTGCTCAAGTGCAAGTGTACCCTTGGCTCTTCCATGCAGGGAGCCAGAGAGGGGCTGAGATTTGAGTTCCAACATGTAAATATACTAAACACAAATCCTGATTTTGGTTCAGTGGCACATTCCTTTCATGGACGCCTGTTGCTTATCACTCACTGCGTTCCCTTCCTCTAAGCTGTCCTAGAGCATGAGATTCCCCGTACTGTAGTGCCATTTTTATTGAAATGATAAATTCCTTACAGTCATCAAAGACTAAAATACACAACCTTCCCAGGATTATTTCTTTTTACAAATGATACTTGTAGTTTTCTACAGGCCAAGACACAAGCTTGTCCCCTGTGC